AATTATTATATGAAGAATAGTCTTATACTTGATGGAAATATAAAAAGATATGTATCGTCATTGATCTCACGTAATTCATTATAACGAAATATAATTAGGTGTTTAAGATTTTATTTTACATGAGAGATCTTTTTTTGTCATTTATGGTTAATACTACACGTTATAATTACAATAAATGCACCAGCACACAAAGAAGAGGATGTCTGCAGAAAATAATGATGATAATTATTATATAACAAAAGAAGGTTATTTAAACTATGTTATAAGTTGTTGTAAGGTGTTTTTTTTATATCAAATTAGGTGCAAATATTTTCTATCATCATGTCTTACTTTCCTTGCGGAATGACAAAATTTTCGCCAAACAGAGTTCTGCAGTATTTGATGTTTTTATTATTTTGATCAAAGATCTTAAATGACAAGAAATCTTTTTCGGGGCCACACATCATTTTATGCCCGATCTTTGAACCCTAACACCGACTTTAGCAAGATAAATATGAATGTAATATTGAACTAAGTTAAATCCACAGAATTGATGAGTTACATTTAAACTACATTTAAAATAAACTGTCTGTCGTTCTGTATATCATCACCAAGGGGGGTATATATATTTGACCTTTGCTGTTCGTTGATTGTCTGTAGACTGACAAAACGATAGAATGCGGAGGCATCCTTGTCCTAGTATTTGCTACTGCACGCAATACAATTTCAATGCATACATTTACAAAGCCGTTATATCTCAAACCGAGAAGTTTCTTTTTTTCTGGAAATTTCCGAATGTCGCTATCCATAAAGGTGCTAGCAACAGAAACCTTTTTCTCTTAAACAACCGTTTAAATGTTGGGAGTTTCGTTATTATTCGCATTTTAAAAATGAAGGCATGCATACATGTGCATAACTTTGATCTTTTTATAACATTGATTTAGATTAAAAAAAAATGCGTGATAAACTTAGACTTGAAACAAATATATATACAATAATTAACTGTTTTTTATTGTAGTAGTCTACCTATACAGTAGCTATTTGGAAGTAAATAATTCCGTCGGCTTTGATTCTACTAAGACGTTTACATTTGAAGGATTAGTTTTGTACGAAAGAAATTGAACACTAAAACGTACGTTATTTATATGCAGTTTTTTTTAATCTTCATATGTTAGCAAGTTTGTCTATTTCAAGCGCATCACTGTCAGCAAAAGTTTACGCCACTTCTATTCTTGTGTCATTCAACCCTCTGAAACACGTTCGTGTGACTCAAAAACTTTTATTTCAACAACAAGTTACTTTTGTGGGGTTCCTTTAATCATATTATATGTTTCTGAAGGTGACTTTCTGAACGATTGACAAATGTGTATGATAGCGTTGTTTTTCCGACAATTTGGTGGCGACGTTTTCGAATAGATAAATGATGCAACTACAAGCATTGTAAGCCGATTTCGCAAATAATGTGACATTGAAGATTAACATTTTCGGGTGTTACATCAAGTTTCGGCGAATGTGTGACAAAATCCATGTTTGTGCTATGTTTCTGGTATGAAATAAAAAATGTTCAACGTACGTCGCGTTTTTATTTTGCTGTACCGCCCTTTGGGGGCTATAATTTTTATTTAAGGCTTTCGGTAAAATTAAAAAGAAAACCTCATAAAATTTTTATGAAATAAAACCCAAAAATTTTTAGTTAAAACAAATTTCCCGGCCGATTCTGGGGTCAGTCTCGTACAAAGTATAAAATTTAAATTATATTTATTTTCACGATAAAGTTATTAATTAAGTTTCCCAAAAATATTGTTTTACGTATAAATATATTTTTTTAACAAATTTTTTAGGGTTTTTAAATATAATGTGAACACAGCCCCAAACAGTCCTATTTTCAATTATTCCCTTAGGAGTCCAAATTGTATGATATAGATAAAGCAAAACAATATAGTCCATTTTAAAGAACAAGAACAAAGTATAGCACAGCAGACTAGTCTTACCCTTTTAAAATGATATATTGATCATTGTAATTTGCTTTTTCCCCATCTTGAACCTACATACCACCATACAGTAAGATATTTAAGACATTAATGGCTATTTAATTTGAGATAAGGCAATTAAATCTAATCCTCTTCGATTTCATGCCTTCGTTGACATAAATCTTGGAAAGTATTAAATTATATAGGAGTATCGTATAGATTAACCAATACAGTGTTGACATACTTATTTACTTATTGAGTACAGGAGATTTCTTTTGAAAATAATAAGATATTTTCAAATTAATTATAACCAGTCGAAATCTTCAATTTAACGACAATGACTTATTTTTACCACGTTTAGCAAAGCAGATTTTTATTTATTTTCTTTTTTAGAAGTGACATTATGCCCATCCAAGTTGAAATTGTCAGTGAACTGGTAAAAAGACAAATAACTTGACATTTTGTAATAATTGTGGTCAATTTTATATCTTACCATACACAAATGATCAATAATCCATATAACCAAGGTAGCTTTCTAAAAATATCGTTTAGAATGTATCGTTGACGCTCAATTCTAAAAAGGAGTAGGCAGTCTTTTTCATAACTTAGGTAGATTTTATATTGTATCATGTACATTTTTCATTATCAATAATAAGTCAATCACAATTACGTAAAATAGCGTATATTATATCTGATTTAAGTCAACTTGACTTGGAAATATTGAGCGTAATGTCACTTTAATCTTTAAAACAATAAATCTGATTAGGATCATACAGTGTTGCCCTTCACCAGCTCACTTAAGCTATTTCTTACTAATATACCTTAGTCTCACTTTCGTTTTGTAAGACATGAATCTGATACATATGCAGATCTTTGACCAAATGCAATATCAATTTAACAATGACTTTATAAATGATTAAATTGTATGTTATTCTTATCTTATATATTTGTATCGTAAGTTGTTTATTTGGACAATGCATTATACAAGTTGTTTCAAGGAAAAAGTACGTGTGATAAATTTAAAATTAAGGAAAGTCTCAGTAGGATAAGCCAATTGAAGTTATGATTCTTTAATATCTTTTAAAGACAGGTTATTGTTCATCCGTTGAGGCTTGAATGTACATGAATACATAGTGTATAAAGCTATATATCTACTAAAAAAGTATTGAAGTCTGTAAAAAGAATACTTCCAAAATATCTGTATGATAAAAATATGCTTGTTTTGTCCCTAAAAGTGAATGGCCCATGCATATAAGTAGTACTCATATAATCGTCCATAAATGGTAAAAACTCTACTCAAAAAAGTAGAAAAAATATTTACTTCCGGAAGATTTTATTTTAATACCCCTCACTTTTTTTGTAATGTTAATTTCCCAAAGACCAATAGGAATTATTTTTGCTTTTAATGAAAGTATACCATGTGACTAAAGCGTTGGTACAATTTTGTACTGTTAAAAAGATAAAGTACTTTTTCAAAATAAATTAAAATCTGAAAAACTGAACTATAGAAACAGTGTCCTAATGAAGTTTTTGTTCGGGGTAATAAAATAAATAACACATATATTTGACGCCTTGGGTCACAGTATTTTTCCCGGGGTCATATTTTACCGTTGCTCACAATCTTTTGTGTTATTGTTGTACTGTTTACGTGCAATAAAAATGGATGTAATAAAGCTGAGACTTTTTTATGTTACAACTTTTTCCAAAAAAGTCCATATAATTTTGGATCAAACGTTTATTTAATGTATATATATTTAATAAAAATTGTTCATAAGATATAGCTTCATACCCTTACACGTATAAAGTCTGCTTGTCAACGACATGCGTCTACTTGTATCAAACCGACAGATGCCGGAAGGAAAATGTTATTATATTTTGATTAGTTACATTGACTACACATCCGTCATAGAGCTATTGTTCTGTTGAACCAAGTACAAATAAATGAGGAATTATAGCAATTAATTTCATATCAAATTGTCATAGTCGCCTCTAGTATATTATGATTGCATTTACTAATGAAATAGGTAGCCATTATCTGACGAAGTTTCATCTTAATTGAAATAAAGAAAAAAATGCATTAATTAAAAAGAATGCATAACAGGCGAAATTTAGTGATATTTAGAAGTGTAGAAGATCACAAATATTACACTTGTTTAATTATCTAGTTAACCTCGGTACATTTTCATTTTTTTTAATTTCATGAACGTCCGATCTATGATGTTCTATATCTAACTTCATTCTTTTTAAATTAGATATTTGACGAAAATTGATATTGTTGTTTTCGCTTCATTTCAATTGTAAAATATTTTCATTTCCCTGAAGGAAAAGCAATTTATTATTTCTAAGTTATAAGATTAAATTATCAATATACGTTTATAAAGATATATTACAGACATTTCTGGACAGTGAAGATAAAATTAGAATAAAATTGTAACATAAAACCAAGGCTTCCAATGAAATATATCACAATCAATTTATTTGCAGAATATTTACTAAATATAGAAAATTTAAAGTGCAGTTGTCTGTAAATATTTTAATGTTCTTTGTTTGCAATCCTGGCGGCTTTTATTTTCAGTATGTAAGTCTTTTACTAAATTGACATTGAACATTCAGCACAACATTTTATTTTTTAACGCCAACCTGGAATGTTTGGCAAGAAAAATATTCAACTTTAGGTAAGAAGCGTGTCCGACATTCCACAAAAAATTTAGTTTAACGACGATCTATATTTAATGACGAACTGAGACGTAATTATATAATTGAACATTCTAGTGTCCTTACTGAAAATTGAACTGACACGTGAAGTCGGCAGCACAAAATTAAGTTAAACAGTTGATCACTTTGATAAACGATGGTAACCTGACTCTTTACAACAGTGAAATAACAGTAAACAAGGTTATAACATGTTTAAAATGTCTATCAATTTTTCTAACAATAGTTTTGTCAATGATATAAATACTTGAACACTTTTTGTCTTTATCAAAACCGCATTGCTTAAACCGTATTAACGCTAAGTCACCTGATTATTCCAGACTAGAAAACGTTCTTGAAATGTCCTCTCCAGAAGCTCCTCTTGCTCTTGATGAAGAGACAGTAAAATCTATTGCTTCAGCTCTTAAAGAGACAATTCAGTCAGAAGTATGCACAATGCTTAATGCAACTGTCGAATCAATAGTAAAAGGCGTTGTTGACGGATTGCAACTGCAAATTAATGTCCTTCAGAAGGAAAACGAGGACCTTAAAGCGACAAACCTAGCCTTATCTACCCGAATTGACATACTTGAACTCAGAGCCGACGCTACAGAACAATATAGTCGTCGTGACAATCTGCGTATCACAGGTATATCAGAAAACAAAGATGAAAACACCGACCAAATCATACTTGATATGAGCTCAAGCATTGGTGCTGACTTGAGCTTAGATGAAATAGCTGTGTCACATCGAGTCGGTAAACCTAGATCATCTGGAAAGCCGCGCGATATCCTGGTGAAGTTCGCCTCTCGTCGCTCTAGAGATAAACTTCTCAAGAAGCGTGCTCTTCTGAAGTCTAAAGGCCACACGAAAACCTTTGTTAATGAAGATTTAACAAAAATTAGATCTGAACTTCTATATGAAGCACGCCAACTTGTTAAAAATAAAGTAATTCTCGGCGCTTGGACCACTGATGGAATAATAATTGTAAAAAGCAGCACAGAGACTATTTATCGTATTCTTTCAAAACGTGACTTATCTCAGTTCTATTCCTATACTGTTGGGTAGTTAAAGTTATGCAGTATACTTCTACTCGTAATAATTAGAGCAATCCCGTGAATATCGTGTGTGACATTCTGAATGCAGGCGTCACACTGTCCCGAATTTGGCATCAGATGGACACACGAATAACGAAATGTTCAAATTCGGATCTGATCGTAATAACATCGTGCCATCCGTGAAGGCATCTTTTGCCATCGTATGATCCCCGGCTGAATATTACAAGCTCCGGCAGCAACTTCGTGAGCGATTCCAAAATCTTTGGCATGCCAAAAAATTGCCCGAAGACATTGCGAAGGTTCATTTTCGTGTTGAATTCGTATGTCAATTTTGCCCTTCGTAAGGCCGTCGTGAAGCCATCTTTTCAAATCGTGTAGTCTTCGTCTTTTCTTCGTGTGATCATCGGTGCAATCTGACATTTTTAGCCTCAAGAAGACAATACGAAGTAAACACGATGATTCCCGATAGTCTTAAAAAGGGAACACGACTACGTGAAGCCCCCGTAATACCGTCGTGTCGCCATCGTATTTTGGAACGATGCCATCGAGATGGGACCACGATGAGGCCGAAGAAAGCAATTTTTAGTGGCTCAAGCGTTGCATTTTTATCATGGTGGACATATAAACGGCTAGATCATCTTCTTCATCTGTCACTCTTGCACATCTCTACACAGCCATCGAAAGCTTCCATTATTTGCAATTAATTTACAATTATTTTTAGTTTATTTCCTGCAGAATTACATGCTTTAATGATGCGTCAACCGAGAAAAAGAAGGCAGCAGCATTGCTACTTTTAAGACACCTTGGAAAACATAATGAGGCCCACATGCCCACTTTGAGTGGTATGATAAAGTTTTATCAAATATGATAAACAAGATCAACAAGGAAAGGCAACGTTCAATGAATGAACCCCCACACAACCGAGCAACAAGAACCAAGAAACACAAAAGGACCCCCCCCCCCTAGAAAAACGGACAGGGCGCAAGGTAGAGCACGGATAGGCTTATCACTTAAATGATACATAAGACGAAATAATGGTAAACGACAAGGAAATCAAAGAAAACAAATAAATGATTGATTTATTAAATAAATAAAACTAGGGGCAAAAGGGAAAATACTTACCGTAGACGAGAAAACAACAAGGGATGCCGACAAAAGTGTCACCAAAACAGTATGAAATAACAAAGACATGCATCTGAGGAACAAAGAGGGGCGCCGCCTTGGACCGGTCAGCAGCATAAGCACTGCTGGGGAGTTTAAACCGGTTAATAGTGCACCAAAAATCACTCTTAGCCCACCATGTTCCTATAAACGAGACGGTGTAAATAAAATGAATCCCCGCCAAGTAAATTTATAACAGTTGTTATGGTTTCAAAAGGTAAAATAAGTAAAACACCGAGATGATTATGTAGATACATATAAAGGAATACCCATATGACCATAACAAAAGTACTCAATAATTTAAAGGAAGACAGAGTAACAAAAACAAACACCTACAAGGGCCCGATGAATCAAGGCAGAAGACGAACAATAAGGTAATTCAGTCCCAAATTGCATTAAGAACTGTCCATCATAGAGTATCCCACTTGGTCCGTCAGATGTAATCAAAAGAGGAAAGGACCAACTGTTAAAGTGTTGAACACTATGCATGCGGTATATCTAAAAAAGTAGAGTCAAAACCTTTTTTGGTTAAACGTTTAATAATTTTAGTAAAGGCAACAATGACAAAGATCTTGCGAAGTTTGTAAATAGCATCTCCGTTAAAATCATTTTTGAATCACTACTGAATAGTTACGATTGTTAAATTTTGTAAAATATCTACGTAATTTATAATAGCGGTAGCCCTGTTTGAGTAGCTTGCTAGTAATGAAAATATTCAGCTTGTTAAAATCCTTCACGTTGCTAAAAGCTCAGACTAGCGAATCTAATTTACTGAGATGCATATACCCCGTCAAATGTTGCATTCGGTACGTCTCCATCTAAATGTGGATAGTTTACTACACCATAATCAAAGTCGTCACTTTTATCATAGATTTTTGTGTGAATAGATTTGTTTTTGATAGTAATATGAAGAGCCAAAATAAAGTTTCAACGTAGTTTAATTAGCTCCCAATACTATCTGCAACTGAAATTTGCCGCGGTTGGCCGTGGGTTGTATACCACCCGGAGGTGAAGGTCATTTGACGCCTTCGTAACCACGTACGAAGGCATCGTACTCAAAATACGACGTCGGGTACCTATCTTGTGACCTTCGCGTGTCCTGCTGGTAAACTACTTTGTACAAAATTGCATCTTTGAGGTGACTTCGTGTGTGTATCGGATGCGATCGCGTGACCTTCTGTAGGAATCGTACTTGTTTCGGCTGTTGAGAGACTGTCGACCAATTTCAGGGCTTTCTTCGCACGAAATTTAAAATTTCATATTCGTATGCCAATCTGGTGTCAATTTCGGGACAGTGTGACGCCTGCAGAAACATTTTACACTATATTCTTCGCTTTAACGGTTTATATGTTCTATATTTGAATTGCACTTTGTTTAAGTCAGTTAAACTAATACGTACTGTAGATAAATATGTCGCGTATGTACTATGTGTACGCATATATTTATATTGATACTGAGATATGAACAAAATCTTCTTTTTAAACTATCTATCAATCATTTTGTCATTACATTTTAGAAATTCGAAAAAAGTCATCTAGACACATCACGTTCATATTTATGATATATAAACAGCTTGTAAGATTATTGCAGTTATCATATGAAAAAAACGGTATCGATTATAACGAGTCATATTATATCATATATAGATCTTACTCATTATCACGTTTTAACTTTGACCAAGTTACTTGTTCTGTAAAGTTGTTCTTTTTCCTATAAAAATAAGATTGAATATACATCGCGATGTAATCTACTATCTTTAAATACATTTATATCAGTGATGTTTTAGAAAACGTAAATGATTATGATAAAAATTTCATACTTATAAATCAATATCATATATTGTTGGGGTAAATGAGCTATTCATACTACATAGAAATACCTTTTTTGATATTTTATATGATTGCATTAATAAGGTTAAGCTTTACCATGAACACATGTATATGTGAGTGTGTACATATGTATGTACTTATGTGTACATAAGTAAATGTGTGTACATATGTACATTGTATGTATGTGTGAATATGTGTTTTTGTATGTACGTGTTTATGTATATTTTTGTAGTTTTACTTGTTTGCATGTACGTGTTTATGTATATATTTGTATGTTTATTTGCCTAAATGATTATAATAAAAATTTCATACTTATAAATCAATATCATATAGTTGTTGAAGTAAATGAGCTTTTCAAACTATATAGAAATACCTAATAATATTTTATATGATTGTATTAATAAGATTAATCTTACCATGAATGCATTCAATTTTGAGTACATGTGTATAATATATGTATGTGTGCATGCGTGATATTTATATGCGTGTATATGTACATATTAGTATGTTTATTTGCTTTGCTTGTTAAAAATTCAATGAAAAATGAAGATAATTTAGACAACTTCAACAAATGCAAGTCATATAGTTCATGTAAATAAAATCAATAAATAGTATAGCTTATACGCACTTATAAGTTTTGTATATGCTTCTGGCTAATTTTCCTTTGAATTTTTTGTGTCTCTTTTTAAGAATATTTTCTTAGAAAAAATATTAATATACATAAGTACATTATGCAAATTGTCACTCTTATTATTCCTTTTATTTCAAGTATGATATTGACAAGAATACTTATATAATTAATTGTATTGAAATATGTAGTTTGCTTTGTCACGTTTATGATTTAAACATACTACTATCTCTTCCAATCTATTTCAAACAAACCACTGTTGTGAATATTTGTTCAATAACTTTCAGAGCTAATGATACTGATATTTAAATGATATGTATACATGTATAGTACAATATGATAACATTTTGAAATACAAGTAATCATTTATAAGCATGCTTTTTATACAAAATCCGGTAGTTTTAACAGTATGCACACTTATTTTTATCTTAGGTTATGATTTCAGTGCTCCTTTTGGTCCTTTTATATTGTTTATTGATCTTTAAATTGTCACTTTATTACATCATGTTTTCTTTATTTTTTGTCTTCCTCAAACACATTTTCTCCCTTTATATTCACTCTTCTTTTTCCCCAAGGACATCTATTCGGAATATTGTAAATGGAATGCTACGGATGCTAATAATTGATATACTTCAAGGCATGATAGTAACGGTGCGCTTTTTGCTGTTTCTAACATCAATTACATAGTGAATAAATTGTCATGCACCGCTATCATGCACTCTTACTCTTGTACATGGAAATTTTCCCTCTTACTAAATTTGCTTGTTCTATTTCACATTGCTCCAAACATGATTCTTACATACTCGCTGTCTCTTAACATCAGGAATCAAGTTACAGACAACATTAAATACCCATACAGACAAGTCCTCCCATGCTATGAGTGCTACATTCAAAATGTAGCATTTACCCATCAACTCATCGCTATTCTCACTAAAATGGTATGTATTCAATGGCTGCATATTGTTCTTATTTTATCTGGAGATATTCATCCGAATCCTGGTCCATCATCAACAAATTCCTCAACTGAATCATTGTCCACTACCTCATCTTTGTCCCTGGACCTTGCAAGTCTAATGTCGTCAGGTTCCTGTTTATCTGTTCTACAATATAATGTTCAAAGTCTGCTAAGCAAAATAGAAATTCTTACCACTGAATTTAGTATGTTCGATGTTCTTGCCTTTTCAGAAACTTGGCTTAATCCCAGTGTCTCCAATTCGGACATATTTATACCATGTTTCCATGCTCCAGAAAGAAATGACAGGGTTGATGACAGTCATGGCGGAGTTTCTTTATACATTAAGAATTCACTATTTTACAAACGGCAAATGGATCTCGAACCTAGAAATGTAGAATGTGTATGGGTAGAGATTATTCTATCTCAATCCAAACGTA